TGCTTAATCTTTCTTATTCAAAATTGGAGTACTGAAGTAGAACTCAAAGTCTTTCATAATGCCATTATACAGAATTTTACTGGAAGAATACTTGTAAGTAACCTATAGCTTATATAATTACATATTTTAATATCACAAAACCACTTCTTATCCCCAGATTTTACAGGGGATAAGAGTATCTTGGATTAAAAGATAAAATTCTGCAACACTAATTTTTTAAGCACTTAGGGGAAAATATACAGCATAATTTCCTGCAAACACACTTGCTCTTAGTAACTCAAGTGTGATAAACAGAGGAACTTGGTTGTTTTTAATTGGCTAATAAGAGTTGCTAGCACACAGAGCAGCTGTGTACAGCCAGCGGCCCAAGGGAGTGTTGGCAGCAACCTGCCTGCCAGGCTCTAATTCCTTCTTTCTTAACCGAGCAATTGGGCGGGCTTTCCCCATTCTAGACACGGCCCAGTCAGGTCAGCTCATATCCACAAACATCATGACCCTGAAAAGGAAGTCTGCTAGGAGGGATAATCAGTAATGAGAGGAAAAGAAGGATCAACAGATGTCAAAATAATTGGGGAGTGACTACCCAGTGAGGCAGAGAAAGAACCCCAAGATAGGAAGCGTTGGGGCTCAGAATAGAGCCCAGTGGTACAGCTGGTGCTCAGCATGCGTCAGGCCCTGGGTCCCATCCCTAGCATTGAAAAACAATCTAAACCCACTAAGACAGAAAATGAGACACAAACTGGACCCTAACGCACGTCTGAGACTTCACCTACTGTCCCTCCTTGCTGTTCCCCAGCCATGGTGGTGGTTCATGCGCAGAATAAGCCCAACTCCCAGGAGCACCTGACAATCCCATCTGAACCCCTGGGGCCAAGGCCAAGTCTAGATGGAACTTTTCTGTTCCTTTGTTTTGAGGGTTATAAAATAGTTCCGCTTGGGTTTCCCTAGCAATTCAAAAAGTGCTGTATTACAGTTACTCTAATAAAACTAAAAGTACACATTTTCTCTAGTCATAAATTTAAGAATCATTCTTAATGTGAAAATCAAGGTCTGATGCCACTGTAAAGTGAGTGGAACATGGTCATACTGTCACCTGCTTTGCTCTAAGAAAACCTAGCTACTCAAACCAGTTACTGTAAATTATACTCAGAGATTTAATATTTCCTTTAAAAACACTCTGAAAGTTTTAAAATACCAACCCAGCAAGAGAGGACAAGAGATTAATTAGGACAATTATGCTGTTCTCTTAGAAACGCCCCCATCATTGCGTTCATCTCCTGAGTTTCCACTGTACAGAATTTGTGTTCTTATGAGGTCATTCTGTAACCATGAAGCAAATGAGCAAACTTCTCTAGGCTGAGTCTGAGTCTTGCATTCTGCTGTGGTACAATGCTGCTCAGGGTGGCCCAAAGACAGACAGTACTGGCATTATGCAAAGTATCACGTTCTATTTTGGACTGTCTGAATCAGAACCTCTAAGGATGGGGCCCAAAAATTTGTCCCCGTGATTCTTAGGCACATTCAAGTTTTAAACTCCCTGATGCAGCATGTTTGCATCATTACCTTGTGGCATGAATGACATCACAGTCTTCCCACTGATTCTGGAACTGATTCATATTTTTCTTCAAGGTACAGTTTGAAGCTGGGTACAGTGGTACATACCTGTGAATCCAGCAACTCAGGAGGCTGAGGCAGGAGGATCACAAGTTCAAAGCCAGCCTCCGCAATTTAGTGAGGCCCTAAGCAACTTAGCAAGACTCTCAAAATTTTAAAAATGGCTGTGGTTCAAAATTTAAAAAAATTTTAAGGGATGTGGCTCAGTGGTTAAGCACCCCTGGATTTAAGAAAAAGATACAGTTTGAAGGTAGGTCAATGTATTTATAAAGTAAATGCTTATTTATTGATTACTATTTGCTTTTCTGAAGCCTGGGGGGCTGAGACAGGGATTGTCACAATTCCTGGAAAAGGCTCAGCTAAATTTTTTAAAAAGTATCTAATTCTTGTTCTTTCTTCTGAAATTGTCAAACTGGTCATACTGGAAACATAGGACAAGAACTTTTCTGTTTCTCCCCAGATCTGGGGAAGTCAGTGTGAATTTCTCAGGAACTCTGGAGGATGGGAGCAACACTGGACAGAGCCACAGATGACACCACAGAGTCGCGCAGGACTGAGCGGCATGGAGGCACGAGTGGGCCAGGGTGTGAGGAGTCTGTCCCAGCACTGGAGAGACCTGAGCGATGGCTGGAGCGTGGGATTGCCTGTGAACACTGGTTGGGTTAAGAAGCCACCATTAAAAAGCAAACACTGGGGCTGGGGTTGTGGCTCAGTGGTAGAGTGCTCACCTTGCATGTGCAAGGCCCTGGGTTCAATCCTAAGCACCTCATAAAAATAAGTTATTGTGTACAACTACAAAAAAAATTAATAATAAATTAAATAAATAAATAAAAGCAAACATTGCAGCACAACAACTTTTACAATGCAAAATTTACTAAATATAGTTACCAAATAATTTTTCTACTTTAGATTTAATTCCACAAAATATGGGTCCCTTTCACACTGCTTGATTATTTTCACAACACCAGAGATAATTCCCAAACTTTACAGTTCTTTATCTGTTTCTCTCAAGAGACTTGTCTTTATTTTGGGGGTTGCAGGAGGGCAACTGGGGATTGAACTCAGGGGCACTCGACCACTGAGCCACATCCCCAGCCCTACTGTGTATTTTATTTAGAGACAGGCTATCACTGAGTTGCTTAGCACCTCGATGCTGCTGAGGCTGGCTTTGAACTCGGGATACTCCTGCCTCGGCCTCATGAGCCGCTGGGATTACAGGCATGTGCTACAGTGCCTGGCAGACTTTTCTTTTTAAAATATCAAACCATGTTTAAAAATCCTGTAGACTTTTTTAAAAATCTGAATTATTTTACATGATGACAAAAGTATCTTGCCAACCATCAGGGCAAGCTGGCTAACACTGAAAGTAAGAAACAACTATCACTGGGAACCCATTAGGTTTAACAGTTGTACAGGCTGATCAACTGCTACCATCCATAATGCTAGTGCCGCAAGCAAATAAGGCCATTTATATTCTGAAAGCTCATTTGTCTGTACATCTTACACAGTGAGGTATAAAGTCACGTTTTATTAACTTTTTTTTATTATTAATGTAACAAATAATTTCTTCCACAATGGCAACTGTGGTAAAAAATGCCAACATCAGCCAACCTGCCAACATATCCTATGGTCTTTTAATTAATATAGTGCATAGACATTTATAAACTACACAACCATACCAATTTATAAGCAACTAATAATTTTGAAATGTTAGAATATAATAAAGTTACACTGCAAATAGTTTATTTTCCTCACATTTTTTCATATTCACATGACCCACATTTTTTTTAATCAGACTCCATTAAATTCTAGATTTAAATAGAACTAAGCATAAAACAAAATAGCTCTTATCAGTGTCTAAGCCACTTAAAGCTATTCTCTAAAAAATAAGTTATTCAACCCAAGGCAAACATGGAGAAAGTTGGAGCCGAAGCTTTGGTTCCCCATAGTTTGATCTGTTAAACCCATGGGAACTTTCAAGATTCAGTTTTTTAGCAGCTTCATGCCATAAAGGTAACTGTCACTAGTGGAATGTCCATTAGCCAAAGAAAGACCCCCAGACACATTCGACAGGGTGTTCAACCTGCAGAAAATGGGGAGTTTGGAGTGGTATGCAATCAGATTAACACGTTTTTAATCCTTAGTCAAACATAAATATTATACCTAAATAACAATCTCGAAGGAGCTTGAAACTTAAATCATGAACTAACTAACCCTGAAGAACGTAAAGGTTCTATTCGGAATGGAAATGATAACCACTTGGCCAGTTTTCTGCAGTGAATCACAGACTTGACATCATGCAGTCAGTTCAGAGACTGCAGTGCTCCTCCCTGAGGCTGTAACAGTTAGGCCATTACCTGACATGTGCTTCAGGACACCCAGTGATAGCAAAACAGGTCAGTCCTATGACACACAGGGTTAGGTCTTGCAACTCTGAAGTGTTAGGTAAAACCAATGTTGGGTTTTCCTCATAACTTTTCCTTAAATCCTTTTATTTTCATGAGTAAATCCAGGCCTACTTTGGGCTCTCCATGTTAAGCCTGTGGAAGCGGAAGCTGAAGCTGCGGCTGCTGCTCGATGGCTCTTTTTCTACATTATGGTCCTATTTCTGCTAAATTGTCCTTCAAGTCTTAGTCAATTTTAGTTTTCTAAAAACTCTTATTTTTAGAATACCGAGACTATCAGTAAATTTAAATTAAAAAAATTTTCAATCTTATTTTTCAAATACAACAGAATTCTGATATCTGATGCTGGGTGATTTCTGTTCACTTAGTATCAATGTTGTAAAGAGGTTCAACTGAACTTTTATTTAATGAGGTGAGTTTCAACTCTAAAAATGGTAAATTAACCTTTTTTTGTGTGTGGGAATCTAAAGTGTAACCCTTAGGAGATTATCTTTAAGTTAAAAACACAAAATTAGGCCGATGATGATTAAATACAATGTTAACAAGTACATTGAGCAATAAACTGAAACTTTTTCATTTAACTGACATCTGCTAGTTTTTTATTAAGTATAAAGGCCAGTTAATCAATTCATTAGATTGGTCAAGGCAAGACACCTGAACTACACAACAGAATTTAAAAAGCAGTTGGTTTTGTAGTAGTTCTCTGGTAATCACACACGCACGCACACATACAAACAAATTGGTAGAGTACTCTGGATATTAAATTCCCCCATAATCTTGTATAATGCACTGTTCACAATCTGCAGTTTTTTGATAACGATATAAATTGGACATGACCAAATTAGAGATGACTGATAAACTCTTTTGGGAACTTTAGCTGTATTCCCCCAAAGATTGACTTTAAACTAAAAAAAAAAAAAAAAAAATCATATAAAAACACAAGATTTAACAGACACTTTGAAAAAAATCAAATTATAACTCAATTGTCTACTTTTTAAATATGACTAAGAAAAAAGTTTTAAGTAGTAATGTCTACATTTTAAAAAATGACAAACTATTAACTGGGTGAATCTGGGTTGGGGGAAAGCTATACAGTATTATTGCACTCCACGAATGTGCAGAATTCCAGAACGTGCCAGCACAGAAAAACTATTTTGCATTGAGGTTTTCCAAGAGGTACAACGAGCCTGCCAAAAAAGCATCTGGTCTGTACTAACAGCTGGCTGTCTTCAGTACAGGCCTTCATAGTGTCAGTCACGCTGCTCTTGCAAAGATCCCTTAATGTCTGAAAGATATACAGAAAGGAATACTCCAATTACCACCCTGCAAAAACTCTTATTAGAAAGTCAACTAACTGATCAGAAAAGAACCGAGAACAACTCTGCTGAGAAAAAGTTAATCAAAACTCCTCTTTCCATATTCACACATTTGGTTATAAGTTTCCTATCTTGAACATGCTAAAAAATTTGTGTACTCTTAGCTGAAGGTATGGAGAGGGTATGTATACTCTACTGTATCAATTCTGGCTATCCACAGTTCAGAGTTTAAAGAATTATATTAAAAGGCCTTCAAGATAAAATTATTAACACAACCTTACTTAACTTTGGCAGGTTCAAACTCTATTGATATATAAATCTTAATGAAGGACACATCCATCTGTTTAACCTTAAATTGAAAACTTAAGTGATAATATGTGTAATATCTACTAACATTCATGATAAGAATTAACAGAAACCCATACATAACTAGTATATTTTTAAGTACTTACAAAAGAGTTTTCAGTGCTGATAGGTGGGGCTATGATCGATGATGCGGAATTGAATCCATGTGCACGTTGAGTTTCATTTCATTGTCAAGAATTTGAACAAGTTGTTGCATGGATGGAAGATGACCAGATTCCAGCTTAGACCATACAGGCACGTCTGTAAAACATAAATAGTACCCCCATGCCAAAATTAAAGATAGTTCTATAAGAGACATTCATTCCACAAATATTTATCAAGTGTCTATATACTCAACTGGGAATACAAAGGTGAGCAGAAGCTCCTGTTCTTAGGGAGTTTACACTCTAGAAGAGGAAATACCAAGAACTACATAAATAGCTACACCATTAAAATTGTGTACTAAAAGTAAAACTAGAAAGTGCTCTAGTGCTCCACTGCTGACTAGTCAGAGAAGCAATATCATTTAAACTGAGATCTAAAAAGTAAAGAAAAGTTACCAAGATAAGAGTGAGGCTTGGGGCTGGGGCTCAGTGGTAGAGCACTTGCATGGCATTTGTGAGGCACTGGGTTCAATTCTCAGCACCACATATAAATAAATAAAAATAAAGGTCTATTGACAACTAAAAAATATTTTAAAAAGGAGTGAGGCTTCATGAAAGCAGGAAACCTCTAAGACAGAGAAGTATAAAAACTAGATGGAAACCCTGCGCAGTGAGTGATCCAAAGGGTAGCTGGAATGAGGTGGAGGGAGACAGAGGGGTGGGGAGAGTTAGACTGGGGTTAACAAACTGCAGCGAAACAAGAAACAAACATTTTTTCTAGGAATACAGTTTCTGTCACAGCCATTCAACTCTCATGGCAGCCTGAAGAATGTGCACACTGTGTTTGGGCGAAACTTTATTTATAACACCGGCAGCAAAATGGGTATGAAACATAGGACACAGTTTACAGACCCTTAACTAGATCTCGCACAGCCTTTTGGCCATATTAAATATTCTGGTCTTTATCTTGGAAAAAGTAGTAAAGCCATTTAATGAATTTGACATACTCAAGTGACAAGATGAAATCTGCATTAAAAAAAAACAAACAAAAAAACCCTCTTTTAGAGCAGATATTGGCAATTTTTTTCTGTAAAAAGCCAGATAGAAAATATTTTAGCTTTATGGATCAAGAAATAAAATCAAGGGTATTATAGAGGTACAATTATGTAACTAGAAAGAAAAATTTCCATGATTTTTCATTGATGAAACTAAGACCATCAGTTATGAACACAGCTTTGAATTTCATATGATTTCTATATGTCATATTCTTTTGTTGTTGCTTTTTAACTATTTAATTATGTAAACATGGTTGTTGGCTAATGGCCCCTATCTGCAGAGGGCAACAAGTTAACTGCAGCACGAACTAGCATGACGGCAGTGAAGTGAACAGAAGGAGATTTCTGAGCCATTTAGAGGACAGAACTGAGAAGACCTGGTGATTGACCAAACATGGGTAGTAAAGGAGAAGTTGAAAGAATCAAATATGCCAGAGGAGAAGCAAATTAACAGCATACAGGAATTGTAGGGAGCAAAAGTAATCAAGAGTTTACTTGGAGCAGGTTATGTTTAAGGTTCCTGAGTACTACACCGAGAAAAGATAAGGACCAGACAGATAATGTAACACAAGAAGAGGGCTAACCCTTCAAGAAATTCTAAAAATTCAAGTAGAGGTAAAGACAAGAGAATAAGTTAAAATTTTCTAAATTCTGTTTCCGGATCTTTGAGTTTTATCAAATAAACCTCTCATATCAACATTAAAGAAAAACAGAAAAGGCTTTTGCTCACTAGAAATCACTTAAAATGTATCACAACATGCAAACTATTCAAAACCTACCATTTAAAGTTATCTCAAATGCACCTGTTGACATACACTGGTTCTCAATCATGTTGCTTAAGAAGAAAACCATCATACATGCATAGACCTAAAAGAAAATATAATCAAGCACAACAGGCAACAAAGTCATTTCAAAGTTAAAACATGACAACTTAAGACCCAGTAATTTTTTAAATAAATGGTATCATTCTTTATTTGTTCAATACTCTTTTAAAATCTGCTTTAAAAGTTTCCACACGACTACTTCTGTTATTCCATAGGTTCAGACAAAACCCACAGAGCAAGGAAACTGCAGCACCAATTTATAGCTCTACAGATGTTAAAGAACTTACAGAGGATGCTCACACTATACATAGAATTTCTATGAGACAACATAATAACCAGTTTACAAAAGAATGCCAGTATAAGTAGGGTTCATTTTACCGTTTTTATAATGCAATATATGAATTCACAAGAGACTAGTGACGTAATAATCAGTAAATTCAAGCATCCAATACAATCTTTTATGTTTCAAACAAATCATTTTAAGTCAAAATAAAAAAGAGGTGGGTGAGAGAGCACTGGCATATTAGTCATTCACTGTGAGAAGGCAAGTGTATGCTCTCCCCAAAGAGGCTAGAAGCTCTTCCCTATGCACAAAAAGGTTTTTTTCTTTTTCTTTTTTAGTTGTAGTTTTTATTTTTATGTAGTGGCCTCATGCACACTAGGCAAGTGCTCTACCACTGAACCACAACCCTGGCTCCCACAGAAGAGTTTTCATTTAGCAAAATTACCAAACTAAAAGTTGGATATAGTGAGAAAGCCAATTCACAGCAAGTTATTTCAGAAAAATGTCTACAGCAGACAAGAAAGAGCTTTCCCTGTGCCCCACTTGAGTTAGGTGGATTTTGATTTCCTAACATCTGGGAACATGAGTCTACTTTCATGGAAATAAAACACAAGGAACTGTCATAAAAGTTACAGCTTGTCGCCGGGCACAGTGGTGCACACCTGTAATCATAGCAGCTTGGGAGGCTGAGGCAGGAGAATCACGAGTTCAAAGCCAACCTCAGCAAAAGCAAGGCGCTGGACTGGGGTTGTGGCTAGTGCTTGCCCAGCATGCATGAGGCACTGGGTTTGATCCTTAGCACCACATAAAAATAAAATTGGGTCCACCTACAACTAAAACAAATATTAAAAAAAAAAAAGTGAGTGCTTAACAACTCAGTGAAACCCTGCTCTAAAGAAAATACAAACTAGGGCTGGAGATGTGGCTAAGTGGTTGCAGGCCTCTGAGTTCAATCCCCAGAACCAAAAAGAGCTACAGCTTGTAAGAATATTTTTCATAGCAGAACAACAATGGTATACACATCTACAGAGGTAAAATGTACAAAGGACAATTTGGAATCAATTAAGTATATCACAAAATATTATCAGCAGTAAGTGCTCAGCTTCCATTCTTAATCCTTTGAAAATTAACATTTTGTTAATGACAGGGCAGACATACTTCCAACTAGAGACAACAAACACTTGAGGAGTTTATGCCAAGAGTCTTGCCTATTCCTGGAACCAAGTGGTTCCCTAGGAGAAGTACAACTGTGTCAGGAGTCTGGTAAAGGAATTAAGCCTAGAGCTAAAGAACAAACTGGACAGAGGGCTCCACAAGAGAACCTGCCCCGGGGGGAAAGCATCTAAGTGATTCCCCACACAGAGATACATAAAATTAGATCCATTTCTGATAATGGTAGAAAATTCAGGGAAACAATGACTTTAAGTAAAATAGATGAAAATAAACATACTCTAGAAAGAATATATACTGTAAGACTACAAAGGAAAAGAAAAATAGCAAAGGAAACTCAAGATTCTTAAGTACATTTACATTTATTCTTTCTGGCAATTTGCCAAACAGACCCCTATAAACAAGAAGTTGAAGAACAAACAATTGAAAACAAAAAGGAGTTTTAATAAAAACCAATTAACAGAAACACTTTTTAATATGAATCAATCCACTAATGGCACATTAGTTGGGATAAAAGGTCAATTATATATATATTGTATTCTGATGACTATGACATGACCTAAATTATATCAAAATCAGGTTATAAATTATTTTGTGTCCAGGTTCTTCTAAAACAATATCTCCCTTTATGCCCCCTAAATAAAAGGGTAAGACCATTACCCTTAAATATATTATTTTTAAGGCATAATTGAAACTGAAGCCAAGCGAAGTTAAGTCCTTGCCCAGAAATAAAGTGACAAAGCTGAAATAACGCACATTTACTAATGTAAATCAGTGACAAGCACCCCATGCCCAAAAGAAAAATCCATTACAGCCTTGTAACTGACAACCTAAGAACCTACAGTAGCCACAGTTATTGAGTCACATACCTTATTCTCCTGGCCCCACTGCCAGATGCTAGGAGCTTGCATGCCAAAGAAAGCAAAAGGGTCCTTGCCAACAATGATCAAGCCTATTAATACGAGTTTGAAGATTGACAGGAAAGAGGCTATGTGTCTATCAAAAGAAAAAAAAAAAAAGAAGCCATAATTTCTCTTTAAAGTTTAATATTCAAGTACATGTATATAAACATTTTCTACAAATCTAAAAGTTACTAATCATTAAAAAGCAACTAAAGTTTATTGTACAGTTTTAAAACAAAATGTTTAATCTTTTAAGTCAATCTAAAAATAAAATTGAAAGTTATATAAATTGGCCTTTAAAAACATTATCATTTTAAGACAGTACAGAACTTTATATCACTGATCCTCTATAAAAGTTTGGGAAGGTGGGGGTATAATTCAGTATTAAAGAATATGCTTAGCATGTGTGAAGTCCTGGGTTCAACCTCTAGTATCAGTAAAAGAGGGGATTCTTAGCCTATTTCCACATTAAAACTACATAAGCAAACACTTCTTTAAAAGGGTTGTCATCTCTGAAACAACCTCAATTCCTTCTTGCAGAAAAAGTCTATATAAGCTTGCTACTTATAAAGTAGCATTCTCTGCATACTACTGTAACCAATTAAGAAATTACAATAATCAAAGAAAAGTGATTGAAACAATTCACAAACGCTTGTAAAGTCAACTAAATTGTTTCCCTTTTAAGTTACTGAAGTTTACTTACCTATAAATTGGTTGAGGGAGGTAATTCTCTCCTTCGATTCGGATGTCTGGGTACCGCTGACTAATAACCCGCATGTACTCCTCAAACACCCGCCTGTAACCTCAGGAAACACTGCAGAAAAATAAGTGTTTCCATTAGGGTTGAGAATACACCTAGATTTATTCTGCAGTCAGAAAAAGGCTAAAAAGTATTACTAAGATTAAATTTCTTTCTCAAGATCCATCATAAATTAATGACTGAACCCATATGATGAATACAGGGAGTTTTCTTCCTTTTTACAAATTTCACAAATTTAAGTTACTTTACCTTCAAATAACTGCTCCCCCATTATAAAAATCAAACTTTTATAACTTTGGACTATTGTTAGACAACAGCAAATACCTATTCTCTCTCTCTCTCTCTCACACACACACACACATACACACACATATTCAGTATAACTCACATATCACTTTGGCCTTTAAAAAAAAATCAGTTATATGAAAACAACTCTCATTCATCTGAAATAGAACTTTTAAATATGGGTTGCAAAAGTTTATAAAGAACATCAAGGTATGAGACATGAAACTGGCTTTCATTCCACTCTGCCCCAACCTGGGTAAGTTAGTTTTGCACAATCATAAGAGAAACTTAGGCTGGACTATTAGATCCCTTCTTATGCTAAAATTTAAATCTACTTTGTGAAGGAAAACAAAGACTGGGAAGGTAATTCTCAGCAACATGACATGACTCTGGAAATTAAGTCAACAGCATCTAATCTTCTCCATGACAAAAGTCTCTAAGCAATTTACTTTCAGATGCAAGCTGCCCCAGCAAGAATAGGAAAATATGCTACCAAGAGCATATCTGGAGAAAGGGAGAAAAAGAGCTTGCAAATTCAGGTAAACTGTCAAGCACTTAAGTTTACTAGGTTCTCAATTAAGGAATACATAAATACCATAAAGTGACAAAGTCACCACTTGGTACAGAGGAAGCAGGGTCAGTAAGTTACAGTGGAGTAAAACCTAAGAAAAAAACCCCAATGACCACCATTACCAACCCAAGTTGGAAAAGCACAGAGTTTATACTGTGATAGGGTGAAACAATGTAAATGTTAGTAGATCCCATGTAAGAAAACCTGCTTTTTAAAAAAAGCTACACATGGTGGTGCACACCTGTTAATTCCAAATCCCAGCTACTTGGAGGCTAAGGCAAGATGATAGCAAGTCTGAGGCCAGCCTTGGCGACTCAGTGACACCTTGTCTCAAAATAAAACAAAAAAAGTGAGGTTGGGGATGTAGCTCAGTGGCAGAGTGGTGGCTTACCATGTCCAAAACCCTGGGTTGATTCCTAGCACTTCCAAAAGAACAAAACAAGGCGGGGTGGGGGTGGGGGGCGCTCAGTGGTAGAGGGCCTCTCAGTTCAATCCCCAGCATCAAAAAAGAGTGAAAGAGGACTGGGGTTATAGATCAGCAGTAGAATGCTCACCTAGCATGTGGGAGGCCCTGGGATCGATCCCCAGTACCACATAAAAATAAATAAATAAAGGTATTATGTCCAAATACAACTAAAAAATAAGTATTAAAAAAAAAGAGGGTAAGACAAATTTGACTGTCATTCTTTAGAGAAAATATTTCCTTTATTGTTAGAATGAAATTTTTTCAAGAGTAAATCTCTAAAAACATATGAATTTTTTTCAGAGATAAACCTGGCGTAGACAACATCTTTGTTTGTATGTGGTGCTGAGGATGGAACCTGGGCCACACGCATACCAGGTGAGCGCGCTACCGCTTGAGCCACATCCCCAGCCCTCCAGATGCCTTTTCTAACATCCACCTAGCCTAATATTATTATTACATTATATTTTTTATTCTTTTTAATCAATATCCTGAGCTTTTTTTCTGAGTTCATATTATTAATCTGATGTAATTCCAAATTTATAGAGTAAGAATGGTGCAAAGATCCTAGGTAAATCCTATACCAGATCACCAGGTATTAGTATTCTGCCATAAGTTTCTATAATAAAAGTTTAATGTTTCTTTTGTTCTGAAGCTATTACAAAAATAACCTAGACAACCTTAAGCCTAACCATCTTAAAACCAAGAAATGCCACCTGATTTCAATGCCCAAATTGGCACTGGTGTGCTGATTATCTAAAATAATAGTATTTAACTTTTTTTTTTTTTTTTTTTTTGTACCAGGGATTGAATCCAGAGGCAGCTTAACTACTGAGCCCCATTCCCAGACCCTTTTTTAATTTTAAATTTTGATTCAGGGTCTCACTAATTTGCTTTGGGCCTCACTAAGTTGTTGAACTTGTAACCCTCCTACCTCAGCCTCCCCAGCCCCTGCAATTACAGGTGTACACCAAAGTATTTAACTTTTAATGCAATATTTGAGAATGAGAGACTTGGTTAATTTAGTTGAAACTTCTTTTTCATAGATGAAGGGGGAGAAAATGAAGCCCAGAGAGATCAAGTAACTTTTCCAAGTATACATTCATCTAAGATTTCACTTGTTCAGTTATCTATGGAACGCCTATCACACATCAAGCACTGTAATTAGGCAGTGGTTTTTAGCAGTTGACACTGATAGATGCTGCCCTTAGTATCAGGACTGAAATATAGCCGGATTTTATGATTCGGGATCCTGGGCCTTTTCTACCTGACACCAAATACAACAGCTACATGAAGAAGAGCCATCCTTTCCTGTATCTGGGAAGTCTGCTCCCCTTCCCCACAGTGCCAGCACTGGGTACCCACAGAGCTGGACTCTGGACTGCAAAGATCTTTGAGGCTCCTTCATGATGACAATACAAAGACTCTCCACATAGGAAAGTCAATCTTGTGGGCTCCCAGCAGTACCTAAAGGAAAGAGGCCCAGCTGGAGAGGCGTGTCTGAGTGCAGGAAACACTGCTGGTCAGACTCCTCCCAGTGACCCACTTTCTCAGCTATGTGCTTAAAAGCCTAAATTGACCCTTTGTTCTTCTAATTTCAAGTCTTCAGTTAAGTTTCAGACCTTGCATGAAATTCCAAATAGAAATGGCCTGTAATCTCACAGTCCAAAAAAAGATTTTAGGCTAATACTTTTCTATTTCTGAAGAATGAAGTGTTTCCGAGGCTGCCACACATGGTTTGACATGTTGCTTATGCAATTCCTCTTTGTATTTGCCTTCAGACTAGTGAAGAAAAACCAAAGAACTTTTTTCCAGTACAGTTGTTTTCCCCCAAAATAATTTTCCCATCTTAAAAGCACTAATCATGACTACAAACAGATGTTTTCCAAGATGAAACATACCTAGGGCTTGCTGAGGTGGCCATCGCTAAATTTTTTACAGTCACAGATGGTAAAGAGCTAGTAACCATTTCACCTCTGGCATCAAACCCAGCTCTAATTACTCCACTCTCTCTGGCTCAAGGAGTACATCTAATCCCATACATGTGAACATAATAAAAATGCAGCAATGGCTGTCTATTCCTGCTGCCACCAAAGGTTCTTGAAAAATAAGTCTAATTCTTGAAAAGAAATCTTAAAGTCTCACCACTTTGCAAAACCCTTTCTAGTAATAGAGACAACTTACTATAAAGGACTCAAATATTGCTACTGTTTGAGTTAAAATAGTTTTCCCACAGTACTTTCCCTAAAGATTTTGCAAATATATTAGATGTAATGTAATGATCAGAAAGGAAGTTTGAGGAACAGAGAAAAAACTCTTGTCCATGATATTTCAAACAGATACTGTGCTTTTAAAGTCCATCATGTCTCCTCATTCACAGTACCAATAATTTCACTTCTCTCTACTACATCTGCTGCTAACTGAAGTCAAATATCTACTTTCATCAAACCCAAACCTGTCCCACACTCCTACCTTTCACAGCCCCCATATTAAAAGAAAGACTGGGGCTGGGTCTGTGGCAAAGTGGTAGAATGTGGTAGAATGCGTGCCCCACATCACAAGGATCTGGTTTCGATTCCCAACATTACAAAAAAAGAAAGAAAAAGAAAAGAAGATACCATTAACAAAATCTTAGACACTGATTGCTATGAAGTAAATACTTGTGATTTTCTGTTTTCATTATCTCTTCTACTCACCCTTCCCCTTTTATTAGCAATATCCACCCCACCGCCTGACCTGCTACAGGATTGGGTGCTATTTACATGAGGCCAAAACCTAGCACATGTTCCAGAAATGCAACCTTCAGAAGAAGGTCCACAGCTTCTTTTCTAGAAAAGAAGAATGTTGATTTTAAAATGTGACTGATAAGTGACATTTAACACTAGTCCTGCTGGATGGAGGAAAGTCAATCTTTCAATAGGACTGAGAAGAGAAGATAAGCCAAACTTCAGAGAAAAAGTGTACATTTTACTGAGTAAAGTACAGATATGAATCAGAAATGTGAACAAAGCCTTCTCAGGTTTTTGAGTTCCCCATTTCAGTCTTTGATGCCCTGTGGCTTCTGCCTTTGGGCTCCAAGACCATTCTTTTAGAAATCTTTAAATGCATTCCCAATCACTGTCTATCCTCATTCAAATAGGTTTCTACTACTTGCATCCCAAAGTTTTCAACTAATATTTTCTGCACACCTCGAAGAAAATCATAAAGATGTTTTACAAATACTAGTTTCTGTCTACAGCACTAATCATCCCTAGCAGCTCTTTGATTATTGAAAACTGACTGCTACATTTTTAGATGTCTCCTTGTTCTGTTTGGTATAAGGTAGTAACAGACATCATGTGGAGCACATCACTTGCTCTAAGTATTTTAAGCAATAAAATATGAACAAGGTGCTCCATAAATCACACAAGAAACAAGATGCTCAAGGAGCAAATAAGAAGCTAATCTGATAAATTACTTTTTTAAAAGATGCAAGCAGCTGGAGAGGATTAGGAGAGAGAGTAGAATTAACTGGTCATAACTTTCCTAGCCTTGTGTTTATATACATGACCAGGGTAACTCCACTTCATGTATGACCACAAGAGTGGGAACCTAACAGAATAAGTTATACTTACGTATATTCTGCCAAAATACATTCTACTGTCATGTATAACTAGGAAAAAAAAAGGATGCAAGCAGAATTTCTCATACACTTCAGACTAAGATTAAAAAACATAAATCAGAACATGTTCCTTT